ACTACTACCACCACTACTGCTACTTCTACTAGTAGTATAGTACTAGTACTGTACTAGTACTAGTACAAACTACTTCAACTTCTACTTCTACCTCTATTTGTCAACCTCCTCAGGATGAGATCTTGCAAAACACGGAGTGGAAGGCCAGCAATACCCGCACGCGAGATTTCGCAACGGGTGCGTACCACTTGCATCCCGGCTTGGAAACAGAGCCTGTTTCTTGGGCTAGGGTTAGGACTTCCACAGCCCTCCTTGCTTTGGTCATGATCGCCCTCGGTTCGACTTTTCGGACTTTCGTTTCAATATCCCGTTGAGCCTGATTACGCACTGTTGTTCTGGCCGGGGATCTAGCAGACTTAAAGCCGCACAATCGTGGCTTTGCTTCATGCCCGAATCTGGCACAGTCGCTCTGACGTCACTCTGAGTGAATTTCAGGAAGTACGACCAGCGGGGCAACATTCGCTGGGAAGGGCATCAAGGACTAAAAGCATGTCATGCTTTGGACTGAGTGACATCAGGCGACGGATGAGCATGCACGAACGCGAGTTGCGGCAGTTCTTCTGACTGATGCCTCGTGTTTTCGTCACAGATCGGCGAGTGTCCTGCCAGACCAGCGAGGAGGGAAGTACAAGCCCGGGCTATCTCCTGCCATGGACAAGGTCATTCAGAGACTCTTTGTGGAGTATGGTATCGAGGACGGTGATCTCAAGCTTCAATTCCTGCAGATTTGCGATCTGCCGAACAGTGTTGTGGCAGCAGAGCCCCAGGACAGAACGTCAGGAGTGATCACGAACTGGTACCCGGATGGCCAAGGCCATCCAAGCAGTCGCAAGCCGGCAACGCTGCACATGCCCTCAATCTCAGGGAGTCGGGAGTCGGGTCGCAACTCGTTCTCCACTTCCTCGCCGTGCTCAACTCACAGCCGTATTGTAGAACGATCAGCTGCGTTGTAATTATTTGTTTCGATGTGCTGCAGAAGCCGTTTGCCCCTAAGCCCTAAGCCGTCAGCCCCGACATGCACTCATGAACGCTCTGCTACAGGGAACCTGGGAAGCCACCGTCACGACTGTTGGACGGCCCTGTTTAGCCTCCTGCCTGCCTTTGATTTGGGTTTATGAGCCTTCTTTTACTAAGGTTAATAGCTTTCTTTTCTTAAGGTCATTAGCTTTAGGGACTTTCGGGTCTCGGGTTCAGGGTACCGCTGTTGACAAAACGTGTTGGAGTTCTCGTGATTCGTCAATAGCTTTGCACTTCCGGCCGCTGGCAGATGTCTGGCTATCGCATGAATCCCCAGCGCAAGCAAGGGTGCCCAGATATGTTTTTAAGGCGGGTGTTAGGAGTTCACAGGTGGGGCCTATCGCACGAACATGATGGAGGTCCAAACGGCTGCATAATTACGAGCTGCGATCTTCTCTTAGCGCGTTTTTGGATTCACCGAGCGAACCATAGAGAACTCTTGTCTCGCTTGCAATCGAACCGCAGATGTTCACCCTGTCTGTCAGGAAGGAGCGATGTTCTTGGTCGAATCCTCGAATCTTAGCCTTCGTAGCGTTGACAAACCGCCGTATTTGCCAGAGCTTGTCCTCAAGGAGATTCTAAAGACAACGTCGAGTGAAGGCTTTGGCCACGAGCGAATCCTCACAATCGACAACACACCCCTGCAGCTCGGCGTCAGATCGTCAGAGAATGCTATCTTCTAACTTAGTCATGAAGGGTGCCTCACCGAGGCATCTAAGGAATCCTAATTCGAAGGTGCTCATTCGGGGGACCATGGTGCAATGCTAAACACCCGAAGCAAGTGCAGTCGGGTGGCACTGTTGCTCATCATCACAAGAGTTGCATTTCTCGAGATCTCAGCGGTGCAGCGTGGTTTGAGAACTGGGTTTGGAGTGTTTTTTGCGAGTGATATTATGCCGCGACAGTAGTAGCTCATGGTAGTAGTGGTTGTAGCAGTAGTATTAGTTAGTAGAAGTAGTAGAAGAAGTAGTAGTAGTAGCAGCAGCAGTAGAAGCAGTAGCAGTAG